ACTTGTTAACATAATGTTGGCTATTTTTCGGCCTTCGCCGTATTGTATTGTATTGTGAAATGCGTCATATTCCCATCTTCAGTCTTTGTTTTTCATTAAAATTCTTAACAATGATACTACATATACATCATGCATACAACAGAATTGGTACCAAGTTCCAGGATCGCAATTTAAACGTGAATCGGAATTCCGAGTACCAAGTAAGAGCGGGTTCTTTTAAATGAGCACACATTAACAACACTTGACAACTTAAAATTTGATACAAGTTGACTTACCTGATAATTGAATTGATGAAATTAAATACGATAAACATAATAATACCAATTTTAACTTCATGGTAAATCCAGTGGTACAATGTGTCAACCCGTGAGTCTAGGTACAGTATGTAGTAGGACTGTTGGATAATCTAAATCTATTAGTCACTGTGTGCGAGAGGTATCGTGCAATATTGATGAGTTAAGTAATTCAGCTACTTTGTTGCCGGAAGAGGCACTGTCTGGGAGATGTGAGGGGAATTAAACTGAAAACGCACATAATTAGTTGGTACAATTGCTAAGGATGGCAAAATGTAGCTCGTTATAGCTTTCGGATTTGGCTGAATATTGTCATTGCGCGTAATCGTTTGATAAATTGACTATTTAAACTTTATTTCTAATGCGTTGAGTTAGTAGTGATTGAAAATTTGTACTGGAGAAGAATTCAAGTTCGTGAAATTTTTCGGCCAACCAAATAATGAATATAAAATGCAATTATATACATATACAATTTATATGAAAAAAATTCTCTAATTCGTATTTTTTTTCATATTACTTGTTTATTGTTATATTTGCATAGTCTTTTTGTTAAAAACGAGAACTTGCTAAAGGAGTTTTCTCCTCCATGACGACATATCCCTTCCATCCGAACATATGATATGCCGCCGTCTCCAAATTAAACGTAGCCTAGTCGAAAAACATTTTTTTAAGTCTTCACCTGTGAAAAAGAAGAGTGTAAATAGAGATGGGATACAAGGATGAAGGGTGTAAATTTGAAAATCAAGACTGGAGCAATATTGTATTTAATCATAATCTATATATTTTTCGCTGGCCGAACAAAGCATCGGATCGTTTGAGGAGGCACCATATATCGTTACGGTCGTCAAGGCAACATAGTGTTTGTAATTGTATGTCACTGAACGACTGGTACATGACTGTGAATTTATGACATAATTACTAACTTGTAACCACATCATAGCGTAATTGTTACAATAACAATATTTATTTCGTATGAAACATTTCTGAATGCGTGTTTACAGCACCCTTGGCGTAATCGCGATTATGTGTCACTCACCTATATTGCAGAACGCATTCATAACTTCAATGTATTATAATGTTGAACCAGCTCGCGGTGATGTTAGACGACGTATCGGGCTTCGTCACGTATCCAAGGAAATCACATGATAACAATAAAAGAACCGAAAACAAATTAAGGAAGTACGCGATGGCAGTTTTGTTCAGTTGCACCTGTTTCAGACCTGAATACGTAATAACTTCTGACCACGCTCAACGATGACTTAGATCGTAGCATTTACTTGCTAATTGAAAATATACCATAAAAAGCCGGTTCGCAAGGACAAAGTGACTATGAATTTTGGTTAGTCGGCCAGCCGGTCGGCAAGAGTCCTCTGGTTTCGTGGTTGCCAAGAAGCGATGTTCCCAGGCAAAGTTAAAGTGATGGAGTTGAGGCAAAGACGAACACATTATTTTGACTAGACCCATCTCGGAATCCAACATGACCCAGGATTATATGAGCACGGACCCCGGGCACGGACCCCGGGCACGGACCAGAGACTGCAAATGGAGTTTAGCGCTGACCCTGTACAGGCGCGGTTTGGTAATAACTTAGGCGTTTTGTAACAAGCCATAGCACATTTTGTAATAAAATTGTCTACTCGTTTTGCAATAAAACACATCACTGACAGAAAAATGTAATAGAGGGCAGAAGGAGGTAAGCCTCGGCTTATTTTCGGAGGTTTATTTTCGCCCTGAAGGACCATGGAAGATACCTACGGACCTTCCATGGAAGAACTTGCATCATGTAATAACCCCAGATGCATATTTCACCTAATTCACTTAAAAAAATACTTTGTCTGTTTCTAATCTGTCCCAGATTGTTTGAAAATATGGTCGAGACGTATTTTCTGGAAACAGCAAAATTGTCACAAAATTTAACTCATCAACATCGATGTCTGACCCTATTACGTAACTACTGTGCAATCATACTGTCTATGATGGTGCAACCGACTCTTATCTAGTATGAACACAAATTGAACTCATTTGTAGCATTCACGCACTGTTCATTAGCGCGGGCTAAGAGGTCAAATACTTTAGCCCGTGCTATGAAAACGTGTGTGAAGGCTTAGCACGACTAAGAAATGTTAAGTACAGATTAAGTCTGGACGATGTTTAAAACCCGGTCCAGATCCTTAGCATGGGGTGAGAAGTGTGCGTGAATGCTTATCTCGGGCTATAATAATCCCAGGACAGGAAAAGTCTGATAAAGCTTGCAATTTGTGGTTTATTTGAACCCTTAACACGAGACAAACGTGTCAGCCTGTTAGCATATTCAGCCTGTTAGCATATTCAGCGTTATAAAGTCTGATTACATTATTTTTTATACATGTATTCTTAAATAGTGTTTGAATCAAACACAGTTGAAAGGGTGAAAACAAGTAAAACAACTGCAACAATATTCTTTGTATAAAAAGAATATGTACGACTTGCGTGCGCTTGCGTGTACACTATTCAAATTTCCATCCACATGCCCGGCTCACAAGTCGTATTGAAGGATCCTAGTGACCCGAGATAGTTCCGCGCGTCCAGCAATGGTGTGATATGCCAGTTTACTGATTGACCGGGATAGCCAATTAAAGTTGAACTTGGTCATATATTCATTTGCCATATATACAACGCCAGCAAATAATACGTATCCAACAATCCAGCATGATAATGAGAGGATTACTTAAAAATAATGCGAGTACCCCAACCGGGGGGTGGGGGTCGGCAGTTGTACATAGCTGGGTAGGGAGGTGCCCCTGAGTGCTCAAAAGTGTGACCATTTTTATACCTGGATAGTGGCAAAATCTATACCCACTGGCACATTTATAGCAAAGTGCCATTTCTGTCATGACTGTTTATTCAAAATAAAACAATTAACATATTTGCTCTATTAGACAGGTTTCACCGAGGAATGCTCGTCCTTTTCTATTTCGTGTTAAATCTCCGTTTAAATATTGACTGCCTTATTTAATTTCCGGGTTGATGTAATAATAATAATAATAATAATAATAATAATAATAATAATAATAATAATAATAATAATAATAATCTTTATTGAAACCGTATCCCGGAGTGGGATCTTAGTTGAAAATACAATAAAGTAATACAAAAAGATAGCAAAAAAACCAAGACATTCACAGTTCACAGACATTGTATATATGGATCTGAGATAGAGATATTCGCTCATATACGGACACACAAGTATACCAAATCGGAAAAATATTACCGATATTTATACCTATCTTGACCAGAAATACGTATACCTCCCCCCCCC